CCCCCCAGCTACAGATAAGGAGCCCCAAGCACATTATGGTGTAATGAAGGATACTGAGGGACAGAAGAGTGGTCCTAACCCCAAACACACTCCTTCAAGTGCAGAACCCCGCTGTGTTCATTTTAAATCTCTATTGTGCACATAAGTTACCTATGCACTTCAGTTTTTGCATGATGGGAGTCTTCAGAAGAAAACATTGCATATGTCTTGATGGCATTGCAAAAATGCATTATTTGTGTCAATAGATTACTAAACTTAGGGATATTTATTGAATGATATTTATTAGAAGAATGAAAAACATTTTCTGAATGAAAAACATTTTCTATTCAGTTGATTATTTTCGTAGAAGCCTGAAAGTGTGTCCCTTAACATCTTTTCCTTTTTCTTAGAAGCACAGTTCACTGAAAACATAGTTTTGTACAAAATGTGTGAGAGAGAGTTATTTTTAAACACTGCTTATAGCTTGTCTTCTGCAGGTCAGATGTTCTTGCCCAAAGATTTCAGATTGCACAGGGGAAAACCGGGATCTTTTCAAAAGCTGGATGATTATCTTTAAAGTCTTTGGGAAAGTATTAAGAAGGTAAATGAAAAGCAATATTCTGCTTGCTGTTATGATGAAAAATTAAATATTACAGTACCGTTGTTAGCTAATAATGGTTTTAGCATATTCTGAAAGACTAAAAAAAAAATTAAAAAATCAAAGTGGTGAAGAAATATCTCCTGTGCAGAAAAACACATTTGAGGAATTGAGGTAAGACAGTTATGCAATGATTTCCCCCAAATACAAAGCTTTATTTTTATGTTCTAGTTTTATTCTCTTGTCCAGAATTTGATAATTATTCTAAGACTCACAAGAGTAATAACAGCAAACTGACTGTCTTCTAAAAAATAAATGTAATTCCATTGGGTATAATAAAGGTCCATTTTGTACAGTAGGAAAAATTTAACAATTTATTGGTGTAAAACAAATCTATGACATCACAAAACAACTTCCATGTGATTAAATTGTGGAAATTATTGAAAAAGGCTTAAAAATACCCCCATTATAGACCATGTATCCCCATAAAACACAATGATCCAGATGCAATTTCCAGCTCAGTCTTTAAATCAATTGCCAGAACCTGCTAACAAAAACCAAGGGAACCACTTTATACTTGAATTGACTCTTGTACTGCTTCCATAAGTATCTGCTATCAGGTAGAGATAAGATATTACATCAATCAGACCTTTAATGAGTACCAGCATGGCTGTTCTACATGTAAACACTAAGCACTGATAACCAAATCGCGAGGCCAGTGTATTGCAATAACTACAAGAGAGGGTATTCTCTAGCAAACAGACTGGAAACACGTCGTTACTAAGGGAGAGGACAAATGAGTTAAGACTGAATCCCAAGATATGTCTGCATCTGCGTTGCAGTGAGTCTTATATTTCAAATTACAACAGTTACAGCTAAGTGCAGTGTAAGCTGCTTTATCTTTCTCAGATAAGATTTATAACTATGGACTTCAGATGAGTGGAAAATTACAGTATTTCAAATTTTAATTTAAAATCTTCTTCTAACACGATTAATTTTTAAACTGAATATGTTTTTAGCCCAGAAGCTATAAGATAGTCAGTAGTCTTATTGAAGTTAAGCATGGGTCCCAGTGCTCTAGGGCTTCCATGTTTTTAAGACAAAATTTTACCTGAAAGTTGGGGTTGATCTGTCATGAGACACTGATTTGCACAGAAGTTTTATCTCAATGTTTGTTAACATTTTGTAATAACAAAACACTGGATATTCCTTAGAAAAAGGAAGATTGTTTATAGAATAAGTGAATAAACTGATTATAAAGGCGCTTTATGGCTTGGTGATCTATGTAAGTTTTTCAAAGGGTGTTGGAATAAATTGGAGTTGTAAACCAGTTTTGATGCAGTTTCATTCCCTGAAACATAGAGGGTAGTTTATGTTACACACACAGATCTTAATAAGGGTTCCTTGATTTGTTAGGAATGAAAATTTTCTGTGGGTATTAAAGGCTTTCTTGTTATTAGCAGGCTTAGTATTTCATGCTTTATATCATGAATGGGAGAGAGATACAGAAAGGAATCCACCAGCTGAAATTATTCTGAGGAACTTTCTGTTCACAAAATCACAGAGTCATTAAGGTTGGAAAAGACCTTTAAGATCATGAAGTCCATCCATCAACCCAATACCATCATGCCCACTAAACCATGTCCCGAAGTGCCACGTCTACACGTTTTTTGAACACTTCCAGGGATGGTGACTCC